TTATTAAGACAATATCTCTAGCCTTTTCTCAACCAGGAGCCTCAAGGCAGGCAGATTTTAGCATGTTACAGTTAACATCTGCTCAAGATGAATATTTTTGTTGAGACACTATCTATAGCCTTTACTCAACCAAGGCAGGGATTTTAAAGTCGGAGTTTGTTTCTCCTAGCCATTGCCTAAAAAAGAACACTCTACAAGGCAGCCGGGCATGGGGCAGGTAGTACTGAGTTACATGATACCAGTAGCAGGTTGATTGTGATGATCTTGAACCTGACATGATCTTTAGAAGTTAAATGGAGTTACTTCTTGCAAATAGTACTTTAAAACAGCAGGCATGACATTTTGGAAATGCATTAGGAAAAACACTACATCTAACAAATTACTAGAGACTATGGTGAGCGTAGGTTTTTTAGTTGGATTTAGAAGTTAGTTACTAAGCTCATACTGCATCAAAGATATAAACAAAACACAAACATACATGTATATAAAGTAACTTGCGGGTGAACCAACTCTGCTCCAGAGGTTCAAAACACAAACATACATAAATTAACTAGCGGGTGAATGAACAATGCGCCATAGTTTACGACAGAACACAAACATGTTACACTAACACAAACACACATGTTATGACAGAACACAAACACACATGTTAAGACTGATTCTTAATTGAATTTCTGAAAGCTTTGTAAAGTATAAAAAGAAAAATAACATATTATAAAGTAAAAATAATATTTGTATATAATTTTAAATATTTAAATTTATATTTTTTTAAATCAGTTATTTTTAGGTTTATTTTATATTAGATCTATTACTAGATTATTATGTTAAAAGATAGCAGATAATTGTTTTCTTATGTCATGTAAATGTTTATAATGTTTCTTTTATTTGAAAATAAAATTTTATAACATTTTTTATCCATGAAAATTAAAAGTTTTGTAATAACTTTGTAATGGATTGTATATGAGGCTTCCATGATAGGTCAATACTAAAAGATAATTTGCGAAAAAAATCCGACAAGCTCACATACCTCTGACAGCGCAGAGGTATGTGAGCTTGTCGGATTTTTTTTTATCCAGCTATCCCAGCATTATAAAAAAACAGATTTTAGCTTATACTGAGCTAAAATCTATTATCTCACTGTTTTATTCAATGTAACATGAAAGTTGTGATTTTCCTTGTCGTGAGACTTAACTTCACTGACCATTCTTTTAGACCATTTTGTAAATTAAATGATGAACTATTATCTAACTAAAATCCAATCACCCTCTTAGAATTTTGTTGCAACTTCCTTGTTCAATAGAGTTTAGGCTGTCAGCTAATTCTTTTAATGAAACTACTTTTTGAAACTCGCCTATTTGTTGGTTTTTCGTCGTTAAAGACAAATAAAGATAAATAGTTTTTCCATATAAAAGAAAAAAAAAACATAAAACATTAAATATATTAAGTTTATAAACATCTATTACCTTCATATAATCAAAAAAATATTTTGAATGTCAAAAGCGATTCGCATAATTAACTACGCGAATCGCATGTTTCTGATGGCGATAAAGACGTTGTAATTTACTTTTCTCGTACTTCCCCAGGTAATGATTGCATAATTTATATAACTGTGTATAAATAAATAATAAAGTTAAGTTTTTTTTTTGTTTAGATAGTTTCGGGATTTGTATAAAATGACAATATTTTTGGAAATTTTGGTGCTAACATGATCAATATGTTTTCTTAAAAGAATATTCTCATCAAGATAAACACCTAAGAATTTTATAACAGTATCTCTATTTATTATAGTTTCATCAATATAAATTTGTGGTATATCATTTGGTAAAAAACGTTTTTTTGCACAGGAGACCATTAAGAAACCATTTAGAAATGTGAATGAGTTTTTTGTTTGTAGTTGAAAAGAGTTCATAAATATCAGTATGGAATAAGAAAAGATTAGTATCATTAGCAAACATTATATTTTTTAATTTGGAGACTTTATTTAAATTGTTTACATAGATTAAAAATAGTAGTGGTTGGAGAATAGAACTTTGTGGAGCACCGCAGATTATGCTCAGGGGTTCACTTTGCTGACTATCGTTACCATACCCTAGCTGTTTTCGATTTGTTAAATAGCTTTCAAACCATTTTAGGATTCTATTGTTTAAACCATAATATTTAATTTTTTAGATTTAAATGTGATGATCGACCGTATCAAAAGCTTTTGATAGGTCAATAAAAACATCGAGTGTATATTGAGATTTTTCAAAAGATTCAGAGATGTTATGTATAAATTGAATAATTGCATGTTCAGTTGAACTCTCTTTTGCATTTATTTTTCAACTCAACGTTGCTATAAAATACTTCGGTGACAATGTTACAAATATTTTTTATTTTGCTATAAATTGTAATTACTCTGCTAAGTAAATCTTTTTTTTTCTCCTTTCATTTTTTTTTTTTGTTTCAACATTTTAATCTTTTAACTTTTTAGTAACCAAAACTTTTTCTGAAAAACTTAAAGTAACTTTCGGTTTTTCTGCATTAGAAGTTATATTCTTTGTTAACTCTTACAAAAACACTTAAAAGAACACAAAATACTTAATCAAATTTTGTTCTTTCATCATAGGATAGTTGATTACATTTTTTAATTCGCTTATTTTTCAATAATATAACAAATTCAATTAATAAAAGTTCAAAATTTATTTCAACACCTGTTTTCCGTTTTCCTCTTATTTAATATCTTCTAGATTTAAAATATTTAGTGCAGATTCCACTATATTTGCAAGGTATAAGTTGTACACGTTTAGTCGCCATAACCCGTTTTCACTGAGATTTTGATTATATAAAGAATTTTTGTGAAAAGAAAGAAAACTGACTTTTTCGAATCTAATTTTACTGCTGTAGACTAAGCCAGAAATAGTCATTTTCATTTTAACTGTTATCTAAATATTAAAAAGCATTATTTTCCGAAATATATAATGAAGCTATTTCCGTCAAGTTATTAATTTTTAAATTTTTTAAAATTTAAATGAAGAGTAACAATAACATGCATATATATATTTAATATATATATATATATATATATATATATATATATATATATATATATATATATATATATATATATACATACATATATATATATATATATATATATATATATATATATATATATATATTAACATATATATATATATATATATATATATTTAACATATATATATATATATATATATATATATATATATATATATATATATATATATATATATATATATATATATGTTAAACCAAGGTTACACTTTTGATTGAATTTGGACGTTGACAAGACACCTTACCAACGTTTACTGTATCATCTTTAAGAAAAACGTTGAAACGATGGTGGAGGCGAAACATCAGTCGAGGCTATTTTTGTGATGAAGACTAAAAACTTTTTCATTGAATTAATACACTGCATGACCAAAACAAAGCCCTTAGTCGATGTACATTTATCTACTTACTTACTTACTTACTTACTTACTTACTTACTTACTTACTTACTTATGTAGGGGAGAATGAGGAGAAGTGGGACACGTTTTTTTTTAAGGTAATTGCAATATCTTTTTTATTTGATGTATATTTTCTGCTAAATAGAGGGGAAGAAATTTAAATGTTTACATTAAATAATAGTATTTAGGCACACTTCTAATTAAAAATTTCAGGCTGTACTGCCTGAAATTTTTAATCAGAAGTTTTCCCACGTCCCACTTCAACCCACTCTCCCCTAAATAGTCAGTCGATGTGTAGGTAGATTTTTATTGTCAAGTAAATTTGGTCATTTAAATTTGCGTTTTTGCGGTTATTTATAAAACTTTTAAAATTATTAGTTTTCGCAATTAAATAAATGATTTTTTACTTTTAAATGATATAATATTAATAAATTAGAACGTAAAGAATAAAATGAACATCTTCACATCTTCATATGAGGAATGAGTCGTTTTTTTACGATCATAATTACGGTCAGCATAACTATGTGATAGAGAAACCATGTAATAAATACATCCCCCCTTATTTTCACTCGGAGCCTTTAGTTTAAAGATATAAATGACGTTTTGTTTTAAATCATTTATAGATAATTCAATAAAATAAACTTATTTCGTGATAGTTTCACGGTCATATAGTTGAAATAACGGAAAACGACTTATAGTAAAAAAATTAAACTTTTCAGAATTAAAAATTGTAAGTATTATTTTTACGATAAAATTATTTTTTAATACGATAAAAATTCTAAAAGCAAATTAAACTGTTATTAAAAACGATTTTAAAGTGAATAAATATTTATTTCCTATTCTTTTTCTTTCTTTTTATCAATCAATATCATTTCTATTTCAAGTTCTATTCTCAGACAATTACGTCTTTGAGCAGCTGCAGATATTTCTTATCTTTTAATAGTTACAAACGATTTTATATTCAAGGTTATTATATGTTCGAGGAAAAACCCTAAAACCGCCTAAAGTTAAAAAAAATTTTCACAATAAAAATCATTTAAATAAATTTTGAGTGAAAAAAATATTTGAAAAAAAAGCGTAAAAGACAGCTGTGCAAGCGTCACACACAAAAAAAGATTTTAACTTTAGAAACAGCAGTGGGACTCAATAGTCCAGAAAAAAATCCAGGATGCCAATTCTTGATTCAAGTATTGATTAATTTTTTTACGAATAATTGGTAAAAACTCCTAAGAACATCATCGTAAGTTCTACATTATCTCGATGAATAAATTTATCTCTTAGTTCAAGTATTGCAAAAACTTTTATATACCTGCGGACATTATTTCTATCATGTATTAAAAAAAAAATTGCAAAAAACAAAAAAAAAACTTTAAATTGTGTTTTTTTTTTTCAATTAAATTTTAGTTAAATAAATAAACGTATCATGACAGAATCTTTCATAAATACATTTTAAACTAAAATTGATAGCTGGAAACAATAAAAACGTTTATTATTAATAAAATTAAATTACTTTACATGTTCTTTTAACTTATTTTCTATTGCAAATATGCGCATTTTACTCGTAGTGAAAATATACACGGTAATCCAACCATCTGCAAACACTCAGTAATAAAAAATCAATAACGACCTTTGATTTTTATTTTATAGCTGACATCGTCATTGAAACCATCAAATAAACTAGAAATAGATTGTAAACATTTAAAATAAAAATATAAAAAAGATCGAATTGATTTTATATTAAAAAAAAGAACGACATTTTTATTTCAAGTCAAATATCATACAGTTCTTTTATGTCGAAGAAAAAATTTTAGGCAAACAATTGAATTGTATGTACTTCTAAAATACGGTTACATAATGAACAACTCTACTCAACCTGTATTTTATGGATGTCAAATAGGAAAAAATGTTCAAAGTATTTTAGACGCTATTATTTTTTTAACACTTTCTTGCGCGTCGTTATTGGGAAATGTTATGGTATTTATATGTTACGCCAAGTTTCGTTATCTCCGAACTGTTACAAACATTTTTATGATATCAAATGCCGCAAGCGATCTACTTGTTGCTATGGTATCTATACCATTTTCTTTTGGAATAATTGTTTGCCAAAAATATATTGATGTCGAAAACGTAAATCTAACTAGATTTATTTATTTTGCAGCTGATATGTTACCCAGCGTTTTGTCTATTTACTCCCTTATGTTAGTAGCAATAGACCGAGCAATAGCTATTTACAAACCATATCTGCATCAAGATAAAGTTACAAAAAATCGTGCTTGGATGACAGTTGCTGTTATGTGGATACTAATTATATGTTTTGTTGCAACAAAACTAGTAATTCAAAATGAGAGACTTTTTACTGTTGTTGTCATAGTTGCAGCGTATGCAACACCAGTGTCAGTAATGGCTGTTTCTTATGGATTAATTGGATTTATAGCTCGAAAACATGCAATTGATTTACGCAAACTTGATAAATTAACTACAAGATTGCAAAGTAGTGAAGCTATAAATTTGCAAAAAGAACCTGATATAACTGATACAAAGTTAACATCAGTTAAAACATCTAGTCAAAAGTCAAGTTTATATCAAAACAAAACCAAGTCAATAAAATACAGTCTATCACCAGTAAAACCAATGTTGTTATCGCCAAAACCCAGTTTGCTATCAGTAAATGGTGTTTTGTCAGCAACAAAACCGCATAATAGATTAGGAAAAGTAAAGGTACCATTTCGAGAACTTAAGGCTGCTTTAACTATATCTATAATATTATGTTGTTTTATTGTATGTTGGACCCCTTTTATTGGCCTTAATATTCAGTATACAATATACAGTTGCTGCATCAACAAAATTCTAATAAAGTATTTTAAAATGTTGCATTACAGCAGTTCCGCCATCAACCCTTTGTTATTTATACTTTTAAACAAAAGGTGGAGAAGTGCTTTTAGAAAACTCACATCAAACTTTCGTTCACAAAAAAAATATCACGCTCCAAATGAGATTTCGTGGACTGACGTTACTGGTTGGTAGTTTTTCTATTAAATACACGTCATTATTAGAAAATAAATAAACATCTTTATTATAACGCATCTTTGTTACATTGCATTTTTTATCACGTATTTTTGTTATGCTGTATTTTTAACTTTTTAATGAAATATTACTATGATAACTTATTTAAATTTATTTCAGGTAAGGTAATAAAATTGATAAATTAGTCAAATAAATAAATAGTACAAAAAAAAAAAAAAAAAAAAAAAACTGAGTTAAAAACATCCCTAACTGATGGATGAAAATTTAGCAATATATTAAGAAATAAAATAAATTTATGAAAAATAATTTGTAATTTTAGAATTTCAAAATGCCTTAAAAAAAACGAAGAAGAAAAAAAAAAAAAAGGCTGTAAATTTTTTGAGACACACGCTTACCTACTTTTAAAGAAATTTTTTAAAATCAATTAAATCAATATTAAAGCGTTTTGCAACCTTTAAAAATAATTTTTAATAGAAAATTCTTAACTTTAATTTTACTTTGCAGAAGTGTAAATATGTAAAAAAAAAAAAGCCTAAGAGAAATAACTCAACCCATTCGGTTGAGTTATGTTTATATATATATATATATATATATATATATATATATATATATATATATATATATATATATATATATATATATATATAACTTTGTTTTATGCAAACAGGCTAATTCACAATTATTTGTATTTTATTTGTTTATTATAGTTTTTTCCTTCGTTTTTATTACTGTTTATTTTAGAGTAATTCTTGTGACGTTTGAATTAAATTGTTTTAGTACCTAAGTTTTAATGGTCACCAATAAAAGCTGGCATTTTCGACTCATGTTACTATTAGTTCAATTTAATTTTCTATTAAGTTTTTAATAAAATAAGAGATCCCACTGTGAACCCAATTACGTTTTACAAGTTGTTTTATATTTGAAACTTAAAGTTTGAGCTAGAATTAAACAATCGTTGTTTTTGCTCAGCGCATTCAATAACTCTTCTTCAAGTAGAGTTTGGTCATTCTCGCGAAAGATTAAAAAAAAAAAAAAATTTGGTTAAATAAATGTTGACTCGAATTTAATTTAATGATGTCATAGTGGATTAATTTAAAACATAATGATCTTTCAATCCCATAGTTTTTGTTAGTGCTTACAAAAAGCTAAATTTGATATTATCAACTTTAAAATTCATGCCCAAGAAGGCGTTTTGTAATATCCCACAAAATGAACTTTTGTAACATCCTACAAAATGACCTTTTGTAATATCCTGCAAATGCATTGTGCATTTTTAATTTAATAATTTGCAAGTTTTAATAAAATTTTGCAATTTTTTTAAGAAATACAACATATTAAAAACTCAAATTTTTCAAAAAGGAGATAGATTAAGATAATTCTAACCTCACAATATGTAATTATTACTAAATAATAAAATTTTTACTTTTGTATGGCGACCTTGGGGAACTTTTAATAAAGGTTGCTTTTCGTATAAGAAATCGCAAGAATTTATTAAAATTCGCAAATTATTAAATTGAAAATGCACAATGCATTTGTAAGATATTTCAGAAGGTCATTTTGTAGAATGTTACAATAAGTCATCTTGTTCGAAATTTAAAAAAACGCTTTCTTTGACATGAATTTTAAAGTATATAATATCTATTATATCTATATGTTTTTGTAAGCATTAACAAAAATTATAGGATTGAAAGATCATTGTGTTTTATGACATCATTAAATTAAATCGAGTCAACATTTATTTAAGTAAATTACGTTTTCTTATTTATAACCTATGTTTCTCAGTTACATATTACAACTTCTTAATTATAACTTTCATGTTCTCAATTACATTCTGAAAAGGCGTAGATATAGGTGTATATATTGATTTAAAAGAAATACAAAATATTTTTTAAGGAAAAATTAATAACGAAAATCATCAAGATCTACATCATTATACCTGTATTTAATTTTGGAAGATAAAAAGAACTTAAATCACATAAAAATTTGTTAAAACGTCATTATCAAAATATTTTATAAGGCCACACAAAACTAGTGCAAAGGGGTAGTGGGTGTGTGAGCCACATCTTGGTATTAACCAACCTATAATTACGTTTTAATACGTGCTTTAGCTGTCTTAAACACATCTTGTGCCTACTACAATATTATTGAGTTATGTTATAGCTACAATTTTTAGAGCCATGTAAAAGCTACACTTTATAAAGCTACACTTTGGCTGCACTAACTCCATATATTTATAAGAAAGGACAAATGAAACTTTAATAATTTGTTTTAAATTATTTTAAATAAATACTAAAAATATAAACTTTTTAAATAATAAAGAAAGTCTAAAAAACTACAACTTTGTAGATTTAAAAAAGATTTTTTAAACACTTTAGAATAAAAAAACACTCAAAAAGCAGCTTGTTAGCAACTTACAGTTAAAAAGATTTTTTTTTCGAAGTTTTATGTTATTGCTTCAGATTTTACTATAACCTAATAATAAAAGTACTAAAAATCATCACTGTGATACTTAAAAAGTTATATTGACAGCTGTCAATACTTAAAAATATTACCAATAAACACACGACGTCCCGGCAAATGCATGACAAAACTTACGCTTAAAAGACAACTTTTAAGCATGTGTTTGCTGGGTCGTGGTATTTCACGTTAATATAATCACGTTAGAATAATCTTGTTAAAATAATCACGTTAAAATAAATCAATAGAGAAGTGCATAAAGTAACATGTTATTTATGCCGTAACATTTTGAGCAAAAAGCCTAACCCTAACCTGTATTATTATTTTTTGTTGCTGTTGTTGTTGTTGTTTATTCAAGGTTGCTATAGAAATACTGAAAGACTAATGAATTTAATTACCTGAAAAACCATATAAACGTATACGCCAAAATTAAAAAAAATAGATTAATAAAAATCTTATTTTATTATAATAAATAAATATATATATATATATATATATATATAAATATATATATATATATATATATATATATATATATATATATATATATATATATATATATATATATATATATATATATATATATTCGTTAAATTAATAAGTTAAACCAAATCAAAAATACTTTTTAAGGTAAATTTCATCAAATATTCAAAAAATATGCTTTTTATTGCTTTTTAATATATTTGTTTAAAACTGAATACAAAGCTATAGTTTCATTGATAAAAACATTCCACAAATTACCCCTTGCGTGGTTAACAATAAATGGGAGGCTCATCTTACACTTTTTACTTACACGCCTTAATGTTTTTGAAATATTTTTTTCCAACTTACATCAACAATAATTTTTTTATAAAGATAATAAATTCTTATAATAACTTGTGAACATTTTAAGCACTTTTTTAATTTTGAAAACTTTAAGCGTAGTTTTAAGAAAGATTTCACCATTTCCGACAACAATAAAGAAATAATAAGTATTGAAATTACAAACAATTGTTTTCCGCCATCTTTTTATCAGCCATCTAACAGCGTGAGCGAAAATCAGAGCATGTTGAACAAACTGTTAAAAAAGGTTTTTTAAAAAAAGTTTAGAGTTTAGCTAAGATTTTGATTATAACATAAACATTAGTTATTCTAGTCAGTATTTTTGAAAAAAAAAGTCCCACATAAATCTTCCTTTTTTATAAATTTAATTATGAATAAATAATACGACAAAGACATTTGCTTTGAATAAAAACTTGTTTCATTATTTTTTTCAGGTTCCCAACCAATGATGAAAGATATGATTTCAAACAATGAAAAAAAAATTTAATGAAATGTTTGTTTTTAGAAGATCTTCTCAAAATTATTACAAAATGTATTGAAAATGAACAATGTTCACTAAAAAACGCATTAAAAACTTTCAAGTTTCATTTTTAACAAAAATGGATAGCTGCTAACAACATAGAGAACGTAAGGCGTGATGCAGAAGCAAACATTTAAATAAAAATTCCAAAATAGTTCAGAAAGTGACTCATCTTTTAAAGTTCATTTGTGCCTCTACAGCTTATATGCCATATTGGTGGCCAGAAGATTATTTGGCAAAACCTAGTGCCCTCTTTTACAAAATGTTATCGTCCAATATGAATTCGTTTTATCCAATGACATAACAAATGAAGAAATCTGCTATGTAGATATCACTATCTGCTATTATCAAACAAAAAGCTTAAGAAAAACTGAAATACCGAAATTTTTTGGTATAATACATATAAAGCATACCTTGACATTTACATTGGTTGGTGCAAAAGTATACTTTTACATATATGCAATGCTGCAACCAACATAGCATCTACTGTGAGGTGCTATATATGTGGACTAAGGTCAAAAGACTTTAATAACTTAAGTACAAAAAATAAAGAAAATCCAGATGCCATTAAACTTAGTTTATCGATATTGCATGCAAGGACTCGAGTTTTCGAATCTTTACTACATTTATCATACGGCATTCCCTAAAATAATTGTGGCAGAAACAAAAAAAAAACATACAAAACAAATTTAAAGAGAAAATGGGGCTGTTGGTGGATATTCCGAAGGCAGGTTTTGGTAATACTTATGGTGGCAATATATCAAGAAAATTTGTCTCAGATCTTCAAACCTCATCCTGCATCACAGGAGTTGACATTAGACTTTTTAAAAATTATGGTATCATTTTGTAAACTTTGTCAAGTGGTAATAAAATAGATATCAAAAAATTTGAAAAGTTTAAAGAACTGTCAGCAGAACTTTATGCTGAATTTTATGGATGGTACCCTATGACTCTTACAATGCACAAGATAATGAGACATAGTGTCACAATAATTTACCAAGTTATATTGTCTATTATTCAATTATCGGAAGAGGCGGCAGAGACTCAAAACAAGCACTTCCGTAATTATAGACAGAAATTCTCGAGGAAGTTTTCTAGAGAAATTTGCAATAAGGATATTCTAAACAGACTTCTGTTAAGTTCCGACCCTTTTTTGAGCAGTGCCAAAAAATAGAACCAAGAATAAAATAAATTTTATTTCCAGCGAGGCATTAGAGTTCTTGCTACCAGAAACATTAAACGAACTACAACAATATGAAGAATTGGCACCTAGCAAAAAGGAATTAGATTTATGTTTATTTTTTATCGTTTTTATTATATTTTGTTATTTCACCTTCATAGTTT